TCCTGACATCCAAGTTGAGTCTTTAAGGCTGTGCAGGCACTCTCCTCCCCCCCTGGTGCCTGTACAGCCTTAAAGACTCAGCTTGGATGTCAGGAGCCTTCCTGGACCGCAGCCTCTGCTCAGGGCCCTGCCCTCTGGCTTGCTGCCTATTGGAGTCTCCCATCTAGTGTTCTCCTTGTCTTTAATTCCCACTCACCTATGAGCTCCCTGAGGCAGGGACACTGTCCCTTTGTATTTCTTCCACTTTTTTTTTGTTTTGTTAATCATCACCTGAGGATATTTTCCCATTGATTTTTAGGGAGAGTGGAAGGGAGGGGGAGAGACTCACACAGAGAGATACATTGATGTGAAAGAGACACATCGATTGGTTTCCTCCTGCATGCACCCAACATGCTTGCAACAGAGGTACGTGCTGCTGGAATTGAACCCACGGCTGATGCTCTATCCACTGAGCAAATGGGCCAGGGCGCCCCTTTGTATTTCTCTCTCTGGTGCTCAGCACAGTGCCCAGCACAGTGGGCATCAATTGGTTGCCTCCCATATTAGTCCCAATATGGGGCCAGGGATTGAACCTACAACCCATGTACATGCCCTTGGCCAGGAATCAAGCCACTGACCCTTTGGTCCTTGGGCTGATGCTCTAAGATCTGAGCATCTGGCATGGCTTATAATATTATTCTAAGACAGGGTATCTCAGACTTGTTCGGGAGGCAGAGAGAGAAACCAAGGAGACAGGGTGAAATTGTAGGACAGTGATGGCGAACCTATGACACGCATGTCAGAGGTGACATGGGAACTCATTTTTTTTGGTTGATTTTTCTTTGTTAAATGGCATTTAAATATATAAAATAAATATCAAAAATATAAGTCTTTGTTTTACTATGGTTGCAAATATTAAAAAAGTTCTATATGTGACACGGCACCAGATTTAAGTTAGGGTTTTTCAAAATGCTGACACACCGAGCTAAAAAGGTTCCCCACCACTGTTGTAGGACGTCCTTACCACAGACGATTTGGCCCTTTCGGTAAGCAAAGTTGTAGTTCAGATACTTGGTGCCACATTTCCGCCTCTCCAGACGTCTGTAGCAACAGTCATGTTTGGCGCAGCATCTGTGGGGAGGAGATGTGATTGGGGCTGCTTCCCCACAGCTCCAGGGAGCCTGGCCCCCCGTGGTCTTGCCCCTTGACCCTGGGCAGAGATCCAATGACCCTGCAATGGTCTAGAGCGGAGTTCCAACATGCTGGCTGCTTTTCCAGCTGGGACCTCCTGGGGTTCTGTGACAATGGGCACCAGCCCTGCCTGGCAGCTCCCAGCCTTGCAGGGGCCATGAGTGGGCAGAGGGTGGGAGGGCTGGGGTGGCCTCACCGATCCGTTGCATCGATGGGGGTTCCTCGGCCACCCCAGCCACAGTAGCAACCATAGGAGCCATAACTGGACACAGCATCCTTTCCTGTCGCCAACCAAATCATTTCCTGGAAATCCAGCAAACTCCCGTGGGTCTGCAGCAGGCCTGGAAGGACATCCCCTGGGGATGGGGCCTGGAGCCCTGTGCCCTCCTTCTCTGCCCTTCTCTACTACTCCCCCTCCCACTAGGACCTCTCTCCCACCCACTGAGGGAGGGCCTATGGAAATGGGAAGGAAAGCTGGGGCTAAGGGTGCTTTCATCTTGGGCTGCCCCCTTGTGGCCAGAGGTCAGGGTTCGCTCTTACCAAAGGCCATGGTCAAGGCCAACAACAGAAGGGTCTTCATGTGGACAGTCCCCTGTGTGAGAAATGCAGATGGATTGGCCTAGACTCCTCTCCCAGGTGGTCCCAGCTTCTACCCTGGCCCCTTGCTCAGCAACCCTGGAGAAAGGAACCTTCAAGGGAACACACAGACATGCTCCTCGATCCAGGATGACTACTTTTGTCACACACGAACACACAGGAGCATGCACACACAGGGCCTCCTGACCCTTCCCAGCTCTGTTTGACTATTTTCACACACATGCAGGCCTCAGACCCAAGGAGACCCCCACACGGTACGCTCAGGAGATGTCCACGCTCCCCATCAGACTGAGAGTTCCTGGAGGGTGCAACCAGGTCGTCCCAACCAACTCAGACTCCCAAGGTCATAGGTTGTGCACCCCCCCCACCCCCAACCCCCCATTAGACATATCGTACTTGTTCCAACCGGATTCAAGGCTTGGGAATTCCATCTATGAAGTCCAATCTCCAATATTTTTTCCAAAACTAAAGAACAGCACCCTCTCTTTGCAAGACTTTCCAACCCCTTACCCATATACACATGCGCAAATGCATATATAGTCACACACATATGCATGCATATACCCACTCCTGAACTCACCCACTAATGCAGACCTCCTTTCATACAATCACTCACACACCCATACAACACACTTATGCACATCCCCCCCAAATCATGCGCATGCATGTATTTGTCCATGTATGCAACAGACACATGCATAAATACACATGGACACATATGCCAACACAGCCATTCTTAAAGGCAGCCACTGAGCAGGACCCATACTCCTGACAGGGCATGAATTTTAGGGTGTTACCTCTCAGAGAATGCTGTTGTTAATAGCTCCAAGTGCTGGTCTTGTTAAGTCTGAACTCCAACTCCCCTTAAATAGCTGCCCCCTAGGGAAGGATTGGAGTTGGTGGGTATGCAAAAGGGGTGGGAGTGCCTCCAGTGAGTGGACTCAAAGTTTGGCATGCCTATAGCCCTGGGCTATCCCCTTTCTTCCCCTCATTAGCCTGCAGGACAGAGCTGAGGATGGAAAACAGTATGTGCTGTTAGCAGATGCCAAAATTGTAGATTATTTTGTAATCTTTCCAGGGGCCTCATTGCTGACTTCAGTCCATTCCCGTAACCAGGCGCTGGGTGTGAGCACCAGTCGTCTCCCTGGAACCAGAGTCAGGAGAGGGCAGGGGCGTCCGCTGCTGCAGGCTAAGGCTCATCTACAGGCCTGCAGGCCCATCGCTGGGGCGAGGATTGCTCCTTTTTTTGGCTGAATGTGGCATTTGGTATAGGAATGGGGGCATTTAGAAAAAGGAGAGCATTTATTGTTATTCATTCATTCCATCAATAATTCATTCACTAGAAGTACGTACTCAACCTCTACAAAATGCCAGGATCCATGTGAGCTTCTGTGGGAGGTGGTGGGGGTGTGAGGACTTGACCTGCCCCCCACTCTCCACCCCACCTGGGGCCCCAGCAGGGAAAGGGGTGCAGTGAAGCAGATGGTCCCTTCCAATTGGGCCAGCACCGCCACCTTCTCTTTGTGCTCCTCTTTCTTTTTCTCCTCCTCCTCCTCCTCCTTCTCCTCCTCCTCCTCCTCCTCCTCCTCCTCCTCCTCCCCTTCTGGAAAAAGCCAGAGCCTGCCCTGGAGTTCACCCTAAAGCGCTGCCTCCACCTTACCCCAGTCCTCACTCAACTTGTCCAGAGACAGAACTGATGACTGCTTCCCAGGTCTATTGTTCTTTCTTTTTCACCCGTCAGGAACATGGGTGACTCCAGCTTTAATTCCTAAAGCAAATACCTTCTCCCCGGCCCTCCCAGACATGCTAAGAATGGAGCTTCCAGGGCCTTCGGTAAACACTCCCTGACACCAGCACCAAAACAGCCAGCGTGGCAGAGGCCGGAGCTCCTAAACACTCCACCTGTGCCCCCTTCCCCAGGTGCCCCTCCAGATGCACAGGCCCAGGGGACTGGCTCTGGTGAGAGCACCTGAGCATTAGTGCCGAGGGGCCTTTCCCTGTCCCTCGTGGTGGGACCAGAAGCAGGCAGCAGGTTGGATCCCCGAGTCAAGGCCTGGAGAACACCTGCCCGGGAGAGACCCACAGACCCTCATGGGACTTAGGGAGAAGGACGTGTTGGTTTCAGTCACTGGTCACTGAGACGGGTAGTGACTGCAGCATAAGCTCGTCTGTGCTGACAGCCTTCGAGGCAGTGTTCACCTCGGAGATGCAATGTAGTTCCAATGCTAGGCCTGTGTGAGGGTGAACTGTGTCCCCGGGCCAAGTCCTGTGTGGAAGTCCTAACTTCCAGTATCTCGGAGTGTAACCTTATTTGAAAACAGATTAGTTAAGATAAAGTTATTAGGCTGAATCCATTAGTACTGGTGTCCCTACAAAAAGGGAAAATTTGGGCACAGACACACGCAGCGAGGACACCATGTGAAGATGTAGGCTGAGGTCCATGATGCTTCTCTAAGACAAGAAACGCTGAAGGTGGCGGGAAACCCCAGCGGCTAGGGGAGAAAATCGAACAGATTCTGTCTCCTGGCTCCCCAGAGGAACCGGCCATGCCAGCACCTTGATCTCAGACTTCTGGCCTCAAGAACGTTGAAACAATACATCTGCCATTTAAGCCCCTCAGCTGGTGGGACTTGTGCCTAGCAGACCCATCACCCTCCAGGGATCGCTGTCAGCCTGGGATTTTCGCTCTCAGAGCTGTTTGCTTTAGCCTAAGTCAGGGTTCAGAGAGGAGGGGCTAGAGTAGACCTTGGTCTTTTGTTAAGCACCGCAGTGTTGGGAACATGGTCATGTCTACAATAGGCAAACTGCCTCCCTGACAGCCCCGATCCTGGAGGGCCCTGGCACTGCGTCCAGGCCGCAGCACTCACGGGCTCTGCTGGCCGCCCACGTGGTCGCTCTTGTCCCATCTTCTCAGGGTTTCCCCCACAAGAATTTGAAGTCCTTGATTTGGTCTCTTGACAGCCTCCTTCACCCAAGGACTAATTTAAGCACTTGGAGTACATCAGTGGACAAAACAAACACCTGTATTCAAGGTGCGCCTTTTTGTGGAGAGGGACAAAGAATAAACAAAAGACACAAAAATAAATTATACAGCCAGCCTGTTCGGTGGGGATCATGCAATGAACAGAAGCAATAGAGATGGAGAAGGGGTGGCAAGAGGGAGTGGGTGAAGGTGGGTTGCAATTTTACATAGGTTGGACCTTCTTAGATGGAAAGTGCTTTGAGCATCATCAGTGTTCAGAAAAGTTTTTTATTTTTAATTATTTATACTTAAAAGACTCAGCCTTTTGGCAATGGTTCTTTTTCATCTCAGGATTATGGTTGAATTGTTTTCTACTACTATTTCCTATTTTGTGTATGAGGAAAAATTACTTATTTCTCTCTCTTAAAAAAACCACCTTATTTTGAAACACACTTACACTTACAGGAAAGTTGCAGTGGGACATGCCTGTATTCCCCGGGAATTCCAGCTTCCCCAAATGTTAACACCCCACATGTAGCCATGGTACAATGATAGGAACCAGCAAGCAAACACTATTAACTCATCTACAGACCTTATTGGAATGTCAGCAGTTTTCCTACGAATGTCTTTTTTCCAAGATCCAATTCAGGATGCCACATCGCATGCAGTTTTCACATCTCCAATCTGTGATTGTTCCTTAGTCTTTCCTTGCTTTTTGTGACCTTCAAACTTTTTGAAGAGCACTGCTCCAGTGTTTATAGAATGTTCCTCTGTTGGGTTTATCTGGTGTTTTCTCATGACCAGATTGAGGGTATGCACTATCACAGAAGTGACAGTGTGCTCTCTCAGGGAAATGGATCAATGGTCGATGATATCGATAGGTCTCATTACTACTGATGTTCACCTTGATCACTTGGTAAGGTGGTGTCTGCCAGGTATCCCCACTGGAAAATTACTATTTGTCCTTTTGTAATTAGTATGTATCTTGGGGGGAGTTACTTTGAAACCATACAAACGTTCCATTTCTCCTCATACTTCTGCTCACTGATTTTAGCATCAATCCATCTTCTTGCCTGCAACCATTGTTACTATTGTTTTTTTATTTCTCGCCTTCAACGTTAAGAATTTAAATTCTACTTTAGGTAAGACCTTTTCTTTGTATTTATTTATTCAAATAATTATTTATATTAGTATGCGCTCATTATTTTCATCTATGGAGTGTGAGTCAATACCATCCTTATTGTTTTCCTTGCTCAGATTGTCCCATCTTGGCCATGGAGAGCACCTTTATGTTGACAGCTATGTCCTTTTGGCATGCCCTCGTCATCATTTTTTTCTTTGCATTTCCTTACTTTCTGGCATTACAAAATGTTCCAAGCTATCTGGTATTTTAACTTTCCAATCATACATTTCTCCTAGGATTCCTGGTTCTTTTCTTTTCTCCACACCCTTCTCCTTCCTTCTTCCATCCTTCCTTCCTTCCTTCCTTCCTTCCTTCCTTCCTTCCTTCCTTCCTCCCTTCCTTCCTTCCTTCCTTCCTTCCTTCCTTCCTTCGTATTTAGAAACAAAGATCTGGGAGATAGGATGCTTATTGTTACTGGGATGTCACTGCTTCTGCCCTTCTCAACACTCAAAGTTGGGAAACACACCCACACACTCAAAGTGATCACCAAACTCAAGGTCATCTAGACTTTCTCCTATGTTATCTTTCAGGAGTTTTATAGCTTCCTATTTTGCATTGGGGTCTATGATTTGTTTTGAGTTAATTTTTGTGAAGCATGTAAGGTCTGTGTCTAGATTTGTTGTTGTTATTATTATTATTATTATTATTGGTAGATGTTTTTTATCAAGCTGAGGAAATGCCCTTCTATTCCTAGTTGGCTGAGAGATTTTCATCATGAATAAGTATTGGATTTTGTCAAATGCTTTTTCTGATTCTATTGTTATGATCATACAATTTTTTCCCTTTAATGTATTGATGGAACAGAAGACATTAATTGATTTTCAAATATTGAACCCACCTTGCATGTCTGGAATAATTCCCTCTTGGTTGTAAGGTATAGTTCTTGATATACATCATTAGATCCAACTTGCTAATATTTTTGAGAACTTTTGTACTTATGTTCATATAATCTCTCTGTTAAAATTTATTTTGGTATCAGAGGAATGCCAGCCTTGTAGCATGAATTAGGGAGAATTCCCTCTGCTTCTATTTTCTGGAAGAGTTTGTAAAGATTGGTATAATTTTTCCTTAAACATTTGGTAGAATTCACCAATGAAACCATCTGGACCTGGTGGTTTCTGTTTTGGAAAGCTATTAATTATCAACTTAATTTCTTTAATAAATATTTACCTATTCCAATGATCTGTGACTTCCGGTGTGAGTTCCTGTGTGAACGAATGGGAGCAGGGGTGAGATGCAAGTCAGCCGTTTGCTGGCCTGGTGTTGAGGCGGAGGCGTGATTCTGGTGATGGCGGCTGTGGTGATATCTTCATGGTATGAGGAGCAGCTTCCTGCTGTGGCCGAAGCAGCAGCCCCTTGGCAGACCGACTCTGTGACTCTGGGGAACTCAGCCTGCGTTGTCAGGACTCCCAGTGATTCTGTAGGAGGCACTGCCCTTTGGTAAATATTTTTATTCTAAATGAGCTAGACCTCCACCCCTGCGTGGTGCCCCAGGGGAAGATGGATGGGGGCATTCTAGACAGAGGAGGCTGTGAGTGCCATGGCTGGGAACAGGAGGAAGAGAGAAGAGCCAGCTGGATGGAGCACAGAGAATGAAATGCAGGTGGAGAGGTCAGAAGGGGGCAGGTTGCTACAGGCCTTCTGGCCTTCTTGGCTCAACCTGTGACACTGTGAAGCCGTGTTATTGAATATG